CTGATGGCGATCTAAAAGATAAGAAGGCTAGTAGAACCTACAGAAACGATGAAGAAGATGAGGAAGAAAATTTGTCGAGGTCGTATCGTAAAACTCGAGGTCGATACGAGTTGAAGATTATTGGTGGAAAATCGGTCAAATCAATAAACTGGCCATGGAATGTAAGTTCGAATTGATTTTTCCTTGCTTTTAATCGCATGATTAGTTCGATTTTAAAAACAACCCTGATAAATCACGCACTTTTGTAAAAATTCAAGTACCACGTCAGTTAAATAGACCCTAAATTTAAACAAAGTTAAAAATTGCTTCCTTTTAGTGAGTTCTAATTTAATGGTATGTCGTCTTAGTTGCTGGGCTACTTTGCAACAATAAGATGTCTGCATCCCTTGCCCTGCGTACCGACATTTATTTTAGAGTTCGCAATAGACTTACCTCCACGTGGTGCAACCTGGACAACCTATCCTCATACGGTGAAAAAGTCTATCACTGGGCGTTTTGACTTCTATTCATTATGATCAAATTAGAACAAAGCTATGGAGAAATTGCCATCGTCAGGGCGAATCACAACGTCTACAGATCCTTCAGGGGAATGCTGGAGGGATGTCACAAGACAAAAAGACCCAAGTCCAGAAAATCCTACAAACCTATGATGTAGACATTTTCACAATTATGGAAGCAAACCTTTCGGATGACAAACTGAAGTACTACCAATTCCCAGGTTACACCCCGTACAATCTACCTAAATACCGGCAAGTTGCAAGTGGAATTCTGACTGGAGTAAAAGAAGGCCTCACCTCACATTACGATCTAATCAAGAGTATGGGCTCGACGCAAGACATCTACGAAATAAACAGATTAAATGTTTGGAAATGTCAAAACCACTTCAAGATATATACAGTCTATAATCCATCCCAGAATTGTCCCAACTTTGACTTTCTGAACATCTCACACAAAACTGTAGTACTAGGCGACTTCAGCGCCCATTTCACCAGATGGGGCTATAAGAATACAAACATTGCTGGAAAGGAAATCGAAGACATGAATAACAGCAACCTTCTGGAACATATTTACAGAAATGAGGACCTTGCTACATAATTGCACTACAATGGAACCAGAACAGCTCCTGACTTGCTCCTGGCTTCAAGCGACATCAGCGAGCATACACGCCGAAAAATAATTGACGATCCTGGTTCTGGTCACAAACCAGTCATTGCTAGAATTAACATCGGCAACAAAAGCATGATAACGAAAGTGCCAACTAAGCTATCATGAAATTTCAAGAAGGCTGACTATCAAAGTGATAGCCAAAGCACTTTCAAATTCCTGGGTAACCTCTAAAACAACAAGGAAAGGCCCAAGAAAGAACCAATGCGCTTAAACAGCAAACTGCTTACCGCCGACTCCGAAATAGCAAACTACTTTGAGAGGTTCTATTCCAACAAGCAATAGAAAAACCCTTTTTTTCAGAAACTCTTCAAGAGATCTAAAGAAACAAGTAAGACAGTTTGGTGAAAATAAGGAAGACATGATAATACCAAATAATGTACTTACTAAGCCATTCAGACTTTGCAAACTTAATGCTGAGATAAAACAATTAAAGTGCAAAAAGTCTCCTGGCGAAGACGGTATTCATCCCGAATTTATAATTAGAAGGTGACCAAAAGCCAAGGAAACCATGCTGACGCTTTACAACAAAATCTGGGAGACCAGTCTTGTACCTAACCAATGGAAAGTTGCCATTGTAATACCAGTACTATAAAGGGCAAAGGCCCTAGCAACCTTGACAACTATAGGCATATAGCGTGCTGGCTAAACTTATGGAAAGAATGGTTAACAGGAGGCTCACTGGCTAAACTTATGGAAAGAATGGTTAACAGGAGGCTCACCTATAGACCTTTCTCCCTCACAAGCCTGCTGGCTTAATCTATGAAAAGACTGGTTTACAGGAGGCTGACCTGGTTTCTTGAGACCAACAATATTCTTAGGAGTGAACAAGCAGGATTACTAACAATATTCTTAGGAGTGAACAAGCAGGTTTTGTTCCTTGAGACCAACAATATTATTATCAATGAACAAGCAGTTTTTAGGTCACCAACACATCAAAGATGCCCTTAATGCAAATACCCTTACGGCTGTTTTCGTCGACTTCAAATCAGCATATGACTTAGTATGGAAAGAGAAGCTAATTCGAAAATTGGTGCAAGAAATACCCTTGCGGCTGTTTTCGTCGATTTCAAACGCATATGACATAGTATGGAAAGAGAAGCTAATTCTAAAATTGGTTGGGATTAAGCATAACATGCTAAACTGGATAAAAGCATTCATTTTACAAAGCATAACATGCCAAATTAAAAATTGCAAAGATTGGTATTAAGCATAACATGCTAAATTGAAAAGCATTCATTGGACAAAGATCATGTAAAGTCATATAAAAATGCTCTATCAAAATCCAATCTTTTACAAACAGGTCTTGATGTACAAAGATCATGTAAAGTCAGATATGGAAATGATCTATCAGATGCAGTTAAGTCAGATATGGAAATGCTCTATCAAAATCCGATCTCACAAACAGGTCTTCCACAGGGAGCTGTCACAAGCTGCACTTTTTCAGTGTCTCAATCAATGACATAGCCGAATTGGTACAGACAGTCACGGGCATGCAATTTGCTCCAAGCCCATATTCTTAATTAGATCGTAATGTGAGGTGAGGTCTTCTTTTACTTCTTTTTCTTTTCTCTACCACATGGAATTGGTACAGACAGTCACAGGCATCAATTGACATAGCCGAATTGGTACAGACAGTCACGGGCGTTCAGGCATAGCCGAATTGGTACAGACAGTCACGGGCATCGAGTGCCTACTTTGACGCAGATGATCTTGTTCTATGGTATTCCGCCCCTAAGAAAAAATGATCTTGTTCCATGGTATTCCGCCCCTAAGAAAAACGCTCAGGTGAGGACAGAAAGTGCTCTTATTAATGCATTTAAACTACTAGCTAACTGGTGCGAAACAATGAAACGGTATTTAACACTGCAAAAACGGCTTTCCAAACATTTTCTTTGACATATCACAGCATAAACCCGCATTTAAGGTACAAGGATACTCCCCTATAAAACACCAATGATTCACTTACCTCGGAATTATGTTTGGCACAAAGCTAACGTGGAAAAGTCACATTGCTAAAATAGCAGATCGAGTCTCCAATAGACTGAATGTACTGAAGCGTCTGGCTGGTAGTGTATGGCGCCTGTAGCGCTCAACTCTAGGACCATTACAAGATGTTTATTCAGCCAATAATGTTGTATTTCTGTAACCCACTCATTACAGCCACAGAGGTGACATTCAACTGTGAGCCACTCATTACAGCCACAGAGGTGACTCTCATATCAATACGAGAAGGCACACAACCAAGCATTACGACTAATTACTAGAGGAATAAATCAACACCTATTGATGCAATGCTCCTAGTTACAGGAAGTGCCATATGTTCCCTTATCAAAGAGAAGGCCTTGATCCTGTATGGGTAGATACTGCGCATTCCCATGGATGAGTTCTTCAGCACCAATGAGAATAGACCAAGACATCTGGGTACACAGTATGGTCTAATACAGAAAGCCATAGAACTGAAGCAACCATTAAAAATCCATGACAAACCAAAAAGCTTTCCTCTACCCATGAACCCATTAGCAGACACTGATGAAGTATGTTGCACCCAACTGCTTGACTACTTCAGGAAATCAAACACCCCTCCAGAAAAAATACGCTCACTGGCCCTTGAGACAATCAATGTCAACTATCCTGCAGATCAAAGGCTCCAAGTCTTCACTGATGGGTCATACATAGAAAAATAAGCGAACGTTGGTGCAGATGTCTACTCTGAATTCTTTTCTTTCTACGCAGCAGCGGGACATAATAGATCCGCTTTCGAAGGAGAAATAGAGACCATTAAGATAACACTAAGCCCATTATGTTGCCTGGATACGAAATTCAGTAAAGTGGTGATACTTTCGGACTCACAGTCAGCAAGAAACTAAGTTGGAAGTGGAGGGCCACCCAAAACAGCTGAGATAAATGAATGTAGAAAACTCTATGAGTTGCTGAGAGAGAAAAACAAAACAGTGGTCCTACAATGGATTCCTGGTCACTGTGGCATTACAGGCAATGACCTTGCTGACACATTTGCTAAGAAGGGGACAACGATTTTGCAAGGCATAGACCGTCCGATGTCTTTCCACACAATGAAGACCTTAATCAAGAGAGAATTCAAGACCTCAAGGTGCAACGAACTTAAAGCTCGAACAGAGGAGAAAGAGTAGACAATTGCTCTCTCCGACATAGCCGACTGGCCAAGAATCGAAACCATGCTGAGTTCAGACCACGTACCGTACACGATTGCCTGGAAAAACACCTGCACAGATTGAAAGTATACACTCGACCTACATACCTGCTATGTAACCAACAAGTATACACTCGACCTACATACCTGCTATGTAACCAACAAAAGGAAATGGAGAAGACCCACCTGATTCGGTGTCCAGCCCTAAACACACGGTCAAAAACTCAGAGATATTGGGGAGCAAGAAGACAGCTAATGAATTGCCATTAATTAACTGCTATATATGTACCCCCACCCATTGGGGAAGCTGAAGTCAAAGTTTTGGGCTAATGATAAATGTCATAAAGCCTGTCATTTGAGCAAAACTTTAATAGTATTAAATTTTCAGGTATCATATCCGAAATTGCCATTCATATCTAACTAGAATGTCGACATATTAGTATTTGCGCCCGATGATGCTCGCAGAAGGAGAGTAAAACGGAACTTCCACTTTATGAACTTCATCTTTCCTATTGGTGTGCTTCAGTGAAAGAGCCTTCTCACTTCCACTTGAGGCGTTGACA